CGAATATATATATATATATATATATATATATATATTCTGAAACGCAGATGGAACGGTTAAAAAACTATCCAACTTGGATCCTCGTATTAAAACTCGCCGAGATATTCAAGTAATATTTTTATATAATTGGGAATATTTTAATGAAATTGATTTACGTGGAGTAGAGTTTGCCACCCCCTCCCCCGCAACTTTCGCAGTTGCGAGAGTCCAATTAAAATTCTGTAATTACAGTAACTACGGATGGTTCATTCATAATGATGTGCACAGACCGCTACTCACTTTCTTTCATACACCCCTTTCCAACGTATACCTGCACATTTCTTTTCCTTTCTAATCAGCTGCAGAATATTTCCCCTTCCCCTCCTCTTCCTCGCCCATATCTTTATGGACAGCCACTGTTCGTTGGGATTTATTTAAATCGGTGGAATACAATACGCCGTTTAAAAATATATTTTAAATTTGGGAAAAATTTGGTGATTCCCCACCCCTAAAACAAGGAGGGGAAGAAAAATTGCGAATCGATACGCAGATATTGACAGATATTGCATCATGCAACGAATCGAGACGCGCTCGACTCGACAACTTCTTCTTATCTTTTTGAAAGAGAAAAAGAAATGTGACGAAATGAATTTATCATCGCGTTATTGCGTGTTCCATTGTGTCAACATCTTGCAATTAAAAAAGTAATTGTCGCGATTAGAGGCACGCGAAAAATTCTGTATTCGTTATTTTTATCTTTTTTTTTCTTTTTTTCTCCATTTTGGGATCAGAGTAATTGCTGGCCAAAGAGTTACGTCTCATTTCTTCCGCGTATTCGAATATCCTTTTATGGGATGGCCCGATAAATCTTGTCGATTGGCGCGTAAATCAGAAAAAATGGTTAGAACCACTTTAAAAATGGGAAAGGCTCGCCGATGGTTGTATCGATCGTTGACTCGTTGATTCCCCTCGACCAAGCTATAGTTTCGCCAATTTAGATAAGTGAAATTATATCGGGAGCGTCGAACTGTACATTTTTCTTTTCAATTAATCAATTCCGTTGAATCGAATCTTCTTCACCCGCCTGAAATCCGATCTATTCTTCTCTTCTCTCTTGTTTTTAAAATTTTTAATATCACCGACTTCTTATCACACAGCGTTTCGTTAAATTAAACCATCGAGATTTGTGGAGAAAAGAGAGTAAAACAAATATCATCGATTCTTAATAAGAATCGTAAATATATATATATATACTGTTACCCATTTTTTTCACATTAAAAAAGGGGTGAAGAAAAGAAAAAAAAGAAAGGACGAATTATTTAAAAAGGAATTTCTTTAACGGCAACAACGAATCGATGCAGCGTAAAATAATCCTCTCGAAGCATAAAACAAAGTGGATACCGTTATGAACTATCCGATATCGTTTCCCTTTGTAAACTTCACGCGACCGGTAGCGAAACCCCCTTTTAAAAATCATTTGTTAAATGAAATTTCGCGATAAAGAAAGAAAAGAAAAAAGTCCATCCGTCGTGACGATGAAGCTTTCCCCCCTGAAATGGACGAGTCTCGGGGGAGGTTTAAATTTAATTTTGATAAAAGAGGCTTACAGAGCGTCGTTTAACTTTCGCGTTAAGGACACGAAACGAGGGAGGAGGCTGTTACTTTTCCAAGAATATGGAATCCGAAAGATGATTACACTCGGCCGGATATTACCTCACGTTTCACCTATACGTTTTCTTATCCTATCCGGAAGCAGACTCCTCGATTGCTCCCTTAAAAGGGTTATGCTTCACTGTATAAAGCCCATCAATTCGACATACACGTCGTTAATTTTCCCAATTTTCGCTCGACAGATTGCAAGTTGAATTTTCCATCTTTCGTTCGAAATTAAACGCTTTATGGCTCTTAACGTGGCTTTTCCCATCTGAAAAGGGGGATCCCCTACGAGCGAGAGACATTTTATCGTTCGTTGTATCGAGTATCAAGGCTTCTTCGATGAATTAATGCGAAGAGAAGGGATGCAAGACTTTGGACTTTCTATGTTTCTCGAGGGGCTACGTCCATGTGAAATGTCGCTCTCGAGTGAAATTTTCTCTGTATACCCTTCGCTTCTTCGAAATGTTAAATATTACGAATTTTATTTTTATTATTCTTAGACTTGTGTGAATTACTGGTTAATTCTAAATAGTCGTAAATTTTATTGTTACGTTCCTCGAAGATATTACGTCGAGTGAAAGCTACATTTGTATTTCTGAGTTTAAACTCGCGTAAGGTATTATAGATTCTATATAATTTACCAGTAGAATTTTAATCTTAACTTTCTACAAGATTTTCTTTCAAATTTTATTTGATACGAAAATAAATTATACCACCTTTTTATACAATTGTTACATTTCATTGGTATGATACTTGAAAATTAATGAACTCGAGGCACAATTTTAAAAACCATTCAATCATTTCTCACTTTTCTATCGACTTTATCTCCGCACTTGGAAAAAATTATCAGGAAAAGGAGCGATGAATTTACACAAAGGATTAATGAAAAATCCTATTGTTAAAAATATCAAAAATCGCGTATAAATATAAATAGCATCCGCTTCGAACGTCGTCTCGATTATTTATCCCTTAAATTTTGTGAAATTCGTCGAGAATTCCGTGGAAGGATACCTCCTCGGATGGCTGGTCGTTCACGAGCTAAGCCACCGTGGCCTAAGGATGCCACCCTTTTCACCTGGATATTCCTGCGCTCCATAAATCTGGATCCCTCGAAGACATGTTTCGCGAGTTCTATCCTCGAATTCTTAACCATTCTTTTCATCCTTTTTTTTTTATTTTCGCTCCCTTTGCTCTTATTATTCAATTCCCCCCCGAGAATCTCTTACCGGTTGTCGCGGTCGAATGGGGGGAAAAAAAAAAGAAAAAGGAGAAAAAATTTATCCAGCGTGATGATAAATCACGCGAACGATCCTCTCTCGCGGGGGAGGGATTATACTATTTTTTAAGCGGTCGAAGGATCGTTGGTGAATTTATGGATAGGGAAGGAAAATGAAATCGTGCCGCGAAGCTCGTGTAATAAAGTACGTATAATAAAACGGGGGGGATCTTGAGAAAATCTCGAGGCGACGGTACATTTCCATTCAAAAGTTTCGCCTCTCGGTTGTTTAACAATCGAAATCCATGTTAAAAAGTAACATTATCCCATTAACTTGCGAAATATATATATATTTCCTCCACTTATACCTTCTCTCTTCGTCACCGATATGTTATAAATTTTGTTCGTTATTTTTTTTTCAATTTCCTCGAGTAATAATAATATTTAATAATTAAAAAATTGCATAGGAAAGTAATTTCAAAATTTCCCTTCGTACGTTTAATCCTCCTAAATGATTTCGCAAACTCATTACATCACGAGTATAATGGATCTATTATTTTATTCACTCTGTTATTCCCGACGAAAAAAGGAAGAGAAAAGGATACAAAATTTTCACCCACCTCGAATTCAAAAACGTACGAACGAAATACTCGTTCATCAAGAACAAAAGGTTCGCAATTTTCTCCTTCCCCTTCTATATTTACTAAAATCTTCGATTGTTGAAATTAATTGGTCGAAAATTTTTCATTCTGTCGATTAATTAACGCGACGAAAAGAAAAAACCCGACGAAACTTTTAGACGGCCGTGTATAACTATCTCTTCGCCTCGAGCCGGATAACCGGAAGCGTTGATCCCAGGAAAAATTCTCGCCGCAGTCGACCGTAATGTAATCGCGGAAGAGAAACGTTGCCCTCGGCCAGCTTCAGAGACGGTTCTTCGCGATAATTGAAAACTTCTCTCGGTTTCTTCTTTAAACGATCGTCGCGAGCATCGTCCTCTTTCCAAAGCCTCCTCTCTCACGTGCAATAGAATGATCTCGAACCACGATTCCTTCTTCCTCGAATTTGGTTTCGTTTAATTCGTGACATTAGAAATTTCCTGGAGATAAAAAGACGCGGCGTGTTTGAGAATGTTTTGAGATGATTCCTTCGTTGACTCGTTCGTTTTAACACTTTTCTCTTTGAAATATCTTCCCCATACTGTCTCGTTACGTAATGCGATTACGCAACAAGTCTTTTCTCAAGACAAAAATGTCTCTTTTCTTGTGTTCTCGGTGTCGCGAGTTTATCGTTAAATTTAAAGCGATCGTTTGTTTCGATCGTTTATCAATTGATTTATCATAATGTAGAGCGTAATTGGAATTGGAAAGGACAAAATGATAGGGAAAAATTTCGAAAGAAATTAACACCTCGTATTTCCAAACTCGATAAAACCAATTCTGTTCAATTTGCGTCGTCTTCTTCGAGGCAAAGGATAATTTCACAACACGGCTTCTTTGAGCCGTCCAAGGCCAGATGGATCTTCGAACGCAATTGGAAATCGCGGGGATAAGAAAAAAAGATGATCCAGATTTTCGAAACGAAGTTTCGTTCTTCCCTTCCTTTCCATAAAAATTTCCTTTGAAAAAGTGAGAGAATCATAGCTCAAAGAGACAAGCAATATTTGATTTGTAGAATAAATTCGATTAAAAAATTCGCGTCCTCTCCTCTCCATTGATAATTAAAACTCCAACTCTTCTAATCGGCCGATGAAATTAAACAGAAAGAGAAAAGAAGGAGAGAGAAGAAGCGTCACCTCCCTCGTGATTTATTGATCGGTCGGTGTGGACGGAGCTTAAGGCGGCCTTTCATCTTCCGCCAAACGCGTTCCGAGGAGAGGAATTGCACGAATGAAGTTCTCATCAGCCAAGTTAAACGTCGCGTCGCGTTGAAAACGTCCCGAAGGTAAACACGAGAGAAGAATTGTTACCGGTCCAAATAGAATCCAGGTCAGACAGAGAGAGAGAAAGAAAATCGACACGGTTGTATATACGAAGCGATAAACAGCGAAACGAGGTAATGTTCCTTGACTCTTTTACACCGAGAGAATTATTTAAACGCATTGTGGGCGGGATGCGTGTTTCGTTTTCGAAACGGACGACGAGGAGGGCCACGTATATGCATATGAGACGTGTACCATGAGATATCTGTGTATACATATATTTCACAGAATTTTCGTCGAAAATTCGCGAAGAATCGTTGAAAGTAAAAATACACCAAAGATAAAACGTTTGTAAGATAAGAAAATTAATATTGTTCATATACTCACGTGAATCGAGGAGAACATTACGTATTGATCGACTCTTTCTCCTTTTCGCGTGTTATTAAATTAACAACATTTAAACGTTAATTTAAAATATTTAAAATATTCTCCTTTTGACGCGCGTTTATTTATTTAAAGAAAATGATTATTATTACGAATCATTATATACGAATAAAACGGAAAAGAAAGTCGAATCGCCGATAAATCTACCCTATCTATCCTGCCAACCTTATTATTTCCAATCCCTTTTAAAGAGACGCGGAGAGTTTCATCCACAAACTACTCGCCACTTTCTGTGTGCATTTCTCGATCGTTCCAAACCTTCTAATTCTTAATCAACGTCGCAAACTCTCCGAGCCACGTGTTGGCAGCCAAATCCACCCCGTCCTTAACATCTGTCGGTTTCCCAACTCCGCAGCCAACTGGACACTGCCTATAACCCGTGGTGTCGGCCGATTGTTTCAGGACATGATGACGAAGAACAAGCAGCGAAATTGGCGACGATTTCTGGCCGGCTGCTTGGTCGCCGTGGTCGTGCTCGGCTTAGTCATCGCGGCGACCGTTCTTTTAACCGGAAGCCCGGATTCCTCCGGCTCGAGGGCCCCCCTCGCATCCGGTATCTCTCTGGAGGAATGGCTCGCGGGCTCCTTGTCACCCAAAAGCTTCAACGGCACATGGATCACCGGTAAATATATATATATTTCTTTTTTAATCAACTCGACTTAACCATTTCCGTAAGATAAAATTTCGAAACAAGGGAATGGATGGGGCGATAATTTAGATGGAACGATTTGTCGAAAGGATTTTTCCTTTATCGGATCGGGTAAGATAAATCGAAAGAAATGGAAAGTAGCAAAGAAAAGTCTTGGAATAGAAAAGTTGGGAGAGAGCCGAACTTGTATAACTTGCAGATATGAAATACATATGATTTCCAATTTCGATATAGCATATGAAGATATTACACTGTCGCTTACTATTTACACATTATACCAATGCCGCTCTCTCGTCCTCTATCTTTATTCTTATTGAATAACAAAAAAGGAAAAAAGAGACATCCCCCACCATCTAAATTTAAGTATCCAATCTCTAATTCTATGCCTACCTTTGCGACCTATATTTTACTATTTTCCCTCTCTTTTCTCCCGTCAGATCGTTTATTCATAAAAAGAAGAATAAAAAGACAATATAAACTTCTTTATTATAATTATTGTTAATTATCGTTAATTTACGTATCTTTCAAATTGTTTTCACTAAAACAGCTTGCAACAATATTCCCAGAAAAATATTTTCGATCGAATATGAAAAAAAAAATCCCAACAATCCCTTTTTAAACACGAAGAAGCGTATACATTCCAGGACAATCCAGTTTCGAACAAGGGGGAGGTGTTGGGCCGGGCGACAAAGATCCACCCCCTCGAAATCCCGATTAATCGGTGAAATCTTTATTGCGGTTGGCCGGCAATTGCGAGGGAATTTGACGTAGGCAGTAATTAGCGGACGAGGGATCTGGCGAGAGAATCGTCCCCTTGCCGGGAGAGGGAGAGGCCTATTGCCGCAAATTGAGGGGTTTCGATGCCGGCTGTATCTACCGGTACACGTCCTGTGTACCGGATGGCGCGACGTTAATTTCCCTCCGCTTATACGAGAGCCTATCGATTTGCGCCATTACGTATGGCAAACATCATTTTCGACCCATCGCTGAATCACGCCTGATACGAGGAATCGCTCGAAAGGAGAAAGGCGTGAACGACGAGGAACGAAAACGAAGGAACAAATTCTTCTCGAACGCAGAAGCGATCGTTTCGAAGAGTGTATTTGGAAATTATTTTTTCGTATTATATCGTGTTTGTAGCGCGTGTTACTTTATTCGCCGTCTGACGAGTTGGCGCAATTTGAGTTATCGAGTTATCCATCTCGATAATTTTTCTTCGCTTTGAAAATTCCGCTTCGTTATTAGAATTGTTCGAAGTGAAATTAGAATTAGGGTTAAAATTATTAACCGACGTTGAACTTTTTTTTTAGCCGTCTTTCCTTTAAAAATATTCACTACATCTCTATTTTTATCGCTATTTCTCGACGAATAGAAATAATTTCGTTATTTAATAACTCGAAAAATCAAACTCGAACTAATTTCATTACAGTTCATTCCACGCTCGCAAAACTCGGAAACTTTGAAAATAATATTTCTATCCAGCAATCTATTCGCGAAGCGATATTTTAAAAAAATCAAGCACAAGTGAATATCGATCGATTGAATCCAATCCTGGCTGACGGTCATCAATAATTAAATATAGGATTTATATTAAAGTTTTCTCATTCCTTTTTTTAATATTTCCACAGAGAGAAAGAATTTTCCTGCTGGCTCATCGTTGCTTGCGATAATAATAAATAATAACGATATAAATAAATAAAATATCGCTCGAATTGTCGATCCAAGTGGTGCCTTGAGAATCAACACGTTGCATCGTCTCATACAATTTATTTCCTCCTCTCATTCCTCGTATATGATATTAGAAAACGCAAACGGCACTTCCCACTATATTTCCCTCTTCTCTTTCTTATTCCTCGAACGTTATTCTCGATTCATTTTGGGATTAGCGGTCCCCCTTTGTCCCGGACAAATGGAGAGGCGAGTTTGACACCGGCGAACGGTTGTTCCAGCCATTGTTCCCTACGCTTCCAAAGGAAAACTTCACTTTCACCGGCCTCCACCAAAGATTCCATTCGGTGAATTAATTCCGCGCGGCCCTGTTACCAACTTACAACTTTCGATCCTTCGCATCAATTTCCGTCCCATTCCACCTTTGGTCGTCGACCAAAAGTGCACACTTCAGTTTTCCACCGAGAATCCGCTTTGTTGAATTACCGTGTGCAAGGAAAAAAAAAAAAGAGAAGAAGAAGCGAGCGAGGTATAAGAATAGGTCGTTAATTGAGGGAGAAAATGGAGATGGAAGGAAAGGATCCTCTGTCGACAAGCGTATTAATCACGTTCTCAAGGAAGCCTTGGCTACGGATATAGAAATCGTGTGATTAACCAAACGAGGCTCGACGAGACACGACAGGTTATACAACCTCTTATTTCATCCTCGTGCGAGTTATTACCGAGTTAAATCACTCTGTCAATCCATTCTCTACGTGATAAACTCTTAATCCTTTCTCCTCGATTTCGTTTCGAAAAATCTCGAGGCGGGGATCCATCTTTTCAGTTGCAAATTCTCTCCACCGGATCCAGACGGAGACGTTGCGTAATCGATCGGTTGCTGTGAGATACAGTTGCGCGTCACGTAACAAGTGATACGAATCGTTCTGGACGGAATTTTCTGGCTCGAGGCGAGCGACGACGACCACGTCTTCTCTGGCAAGCTGCCTCAGCTGCTTTTCGCCGGTCATTTTCGAATCCTGCTTCGACTGAAGATACTACCAAAATCTTCTTTCTTTTTTTCACGCCTTTCTCTATACTTTCTCGTATAATTTTGATTCGTATACTTATAGAAAGGGAGGCAAAATTGTCTATTTTCAAGTAAAATCCTCTCTTTTTGTACCATAAAAAACAAATTGGAAAATTATTCGACGCGTGAATTTTCCAACGCATCATTAAATATCTCAACTTGATAAATATCGGCGTCCTCTGAGATACTTTCGTTCAACTTCGTAGTTTCTTAGACGTCATGTTTGTTCCACCTTTTCGTCCGATCCTCTCGAGTTTCGAGTTTTGAATTTTTCTTCGAACAGAGATAAAAGTATCGCTTTCCTTTTTTTCGACAAAATTTCTTCATATTTCACGTTGTTGAAGCGTATTGTGGCGCCTTGTGGAAAAGCTTTTCGAAACGTGTGTGAGGGGATATTCGCACGGCTCGTTGAAATTTGACGTGGATCCCGCTTGGATAAACTTTTTCCTTCCGCGACATCGAGGTGTCGATGCGATTCTGGCATCGAAATAACAATGATTTAATTCTCCGTTCAGTTCTCTTCTTCTTAAATAATTTAACAGTTTCTCCCACGATGAATTTCCATTCTGCCATGGATAGATTAGATTTGATAATAATGAAATCTTGCTCCCTCTGTTGAATTCTGTTCATCGATAACGAGGTCCGTGTTATTTTGCCGAATAATCCTTTTTCTCGCTTGTTGTTGTATTATCGTATAAAGTTATTAAAATATCGTGTTCGAAACTGGTTAAGGTTTCCAGTTGACAAGCTGGAGTATAAGTAAATCGAGACGATATCTGTTGCAACTATTATTTCATGCACGCGATATATATTTTTGGAATAAATAAATAAATTTTATTTTTCAAAAAAAAACGATTCCATTCAAATTTTTATTTCCAACACACGCACGTAAAATGGACAGGATATTATTTAATTTTTGATATTATGAAAGTTTTAAGCGCTTTTATAATTTGTACAAATTATTGATATTCGTGTTTTCATTGAATTTTTGAAATTTTTATTCACCTTTTATCTTCCCCAAAATTTAAAAACTTAAAATTTGTTTTTTTGCGAGAAAAAAGAAAAGATCCGAAGAAACGGTTCCCGTATTATTATGTCGAAACAAAATTTCGAGATATCAAGCATTCGACGATACATAGAATCTAATTAAAATGTATTTCGTCGATTCATCCGCGAACATCGTTCGATGTTTACAAACATTCCCTGGCAAAAGAAGGGAAATTCGCGAAATTCCCACTAACATTCCCACCCCATCCAAATCCATCCCAAAAATTTCAAGATTTTACAACAACAAAATGGTCGCGAGTTTTGCATCCCAAAACTTTTATCCCCAAATCGATCCACGTTCCAGCAAAGAAATCATCCCCTCCAATCCCCAGAAATTCCTTTCAAAAATCGATCTACGTTCCAACACCAAAAAAAAAAAGAAACCCATCGTTATCCCATTCTCTCTTTGACTCCCCCCCCCCAAGAAAAGATTCTCGTTCGTGAAAGGAAGGACGAGTTCCTTGAACAGGTTCCTCCAACTAACTTCTCCATCCCCCTTTCTTTTTATCACGGGACACTTCAGGCAGACGAGATCAAAGAAATAGCCCCGCGAATGTCTTCTTTGTGACGTGCGCCACCAACTACGAGTTTCAACTACTGCTGTTTACGAACTTGCTCGTCTCCGTGTTTTTTTCCGCATCCCCCCCCCCGAGAAACTTGGCCGCCTTAACTTATGCCGCGTCCTCGTCCTTCCTTCTCTGTATCCTCGTCGTGTTATATATCGCCGTTTAAGAGGGGGGAATCTATCATCTTCACAGGTTGAAAGGAGGTTTTCTTCTTCGTTTAATCCACTTTGGCTCGTCTGGTACGATGATTCGAGAGGGAAGTAATTATTAGAGAAGAATTGCTCCGTTTGCGTGGAATATTTAATACGGCGGCGTGGGTGAGGGTGACGTTTCCATTGTTCCCCCGCTGAATTGAATTATTAACGGGATTAGGGTTGGGGATATACTCCTCGAGGGAGGAATTGATTGAATTATTAACTCAACTGCTCGAATATTTTCGTTGTGTACAAGCGATCGTATAATATTGTTTCTTTAAATTCTCCATCGCTCTGCGAAATAATATGTATGTTTATAAAATTATCCCGGACGATGATATTTCAATCTCGAAGAAATGCATGAAAAGGGAAGTTTTTAAAAAAAATATGGCAGGAGAAGAAGCTGGTTTTACTTCTCGTGTCCTGCAG